GGGGAGCCAGCAGCGGACAGGCAGTGTTAAGCACCATTTGGGCACCACCAGAACTCAGCAGGTAGAGTGCAGGGTGGGGTTCCTCATGCCAGGGAGGAGAGCACTGAGGGAGGGGCATGAGGCCAGTTCTATTAGGGGCTCTCCTTTTCCTGTGCCTGCTGTGCCTCCTGCCAAAGCGGTGGGTGATCTCCACTGGGAGAAACCGGGAGCTGGGACAGGACAATCAGGCCTTAAGTGTTTCCTGGAAGAAAATGGAAATCCTATTACTGTGTACCCCACCCTGTGCTGAACACTGGTCTATCCCAGATAAAATTCAGAGCAGTTGGGGTTCTAGTAGTCAGGAAGCCTGGTGCTGCAGCACCCCCCTCTTTCTCCTCACTGTGTTTCCTTGGCGGAAGTAGGGCGGGGATGGTGGGGGGAAGGCAAAGTCCACCTCAGGTCCTGAGAGGGAGGAGTGGGGGCAGGGGTGCAGCATGGGGTCCTGTGTCACGCTGCAAGAGAGAATGGCGTGCTGTGTGAGCCCACACTGCAGGAATGGAACATGTAAAGTGGGGAAGATACTAGGGAGGGTGGTCTTGGAGCTGGATCTAGGAGTGCCCCTGTGCTCCAGGCTATGCTCAGACCCCTTTTTAGGGGAAACACCCCAGGCCAGATGTGGCACTGAAAGTAGAAGTTCTGAGGGAGCAGGCATGCGCAAGGCACCGAGGTGGACTCCAGACCCCTGAAGTCTCCATGAGTGTTGTGGTCAGTCTTTGTGAGTCAGAGCCCCAGGAGCTGAGGTGCTGCACCAGACCGCCTGAGGTTGGATTCTGGCTCTGCCAGGGGCCAGCCACATGGGTGTGAGTGCATTCCTCTTAAAGTGAAGCACTGAGCATCTGAGAAGTTCAACAGGTCATCTAAGGTCACAGAACTGATGTAAAGGATGATCAGCATCTATATCTGACTCTAGGGCCAGCACATGTATTGTCTCCACAGTTTTCCTGTGATTTAAAAAAAAAGAAGGCAGGAACACACTGTGTATGCTAGGGACGAGCCTTGAGCGTCAGCTTATTCATCTGTAAAATGGGATAATGACCTCTAGTTTCCTGAATGGCAATCGACAATGTATGGAACAGGTCTGCACCACGCAGAGAGGCAACTCCTGTTATTCTGGGGGCCCGATTAGCTCACCAGCTGACGGGCTCTTGAAGGGTAGAGGCCAGTGCTACAAGTTAGGCAGTGCAGAAGGTGTGAGTGGGCACACAGAGACTCAAGAAAACTGGAGACGATTTATTTGGGCAGAGAAGAGAGCCTAAAGCTACTCAGCTCCTCCCTATTTTCCTCTTTCCCTCTGCAGCCCAAGGGAAGTTGTTCTTTCTCCCTTCCATTTTCTTCTTCACCTCCGTAATCTCGCTTCTGCTCACACTCTTGGCAAGATCCTCAGTGCCAGCCTGATGCCAGTCCATGGCCTTCCTCATGTCTTACCTTCCCTCCACAGCAACCTAGAAGGGCTTCCAACTCCCTTCTCTTTGAAATCCTCCTCCTGGACTATTGATGCCCCCCCTCCCCTGGTTTACTTCCTTCCATGCAGCATGCTCCCCTCTGCTGATTCCACCCCCTGTGCCCTGGATATTGATATGGTGAGTCCCAGATCTATTTCTCATCAGCACATTCTTACAGCACGACTCATCCTTTCTCAAGGCTTACCCACAGCCTCCATGTGGGATGCGGAACTCCCGTCTGTAGCCCAACCTCCACCCTAAGCACTGGACCCATATACCTACCTATCTGCTGGATTCTCTACCTGCATGTACTTGTGGCAGTTTGAATTCAAAATGAGCCCAAGGGATTTACTGAATTTCCCTAATAGTTACTCTGCCAGGGGTTGGCATCACCAGCGAAGGTTGCCCAAGTCAGTTTTCCAATACCTCCAATAGTGACACTTGGATGCCATCTCCCTTCAACATCTCTTGTGCTTTGTTCTCCTCCCCACCACCATACCCACTGCTGCAGAACAGGCCTTCATCCTAGCTCCTGGGGTTCCTTCCACAGACTGCTCCATTGCATTTTCACCCAGACACCAGAGAGGTCTATGTGGAATACAGAGCAGTCTGGTCACTTCCTGTTCAGAAGCCTTCTCCCCACTGCACTGGGGATAAGGCCTGGACTTCATAGCATTCCACTCAATATTCCAGTCTCTTCACTTGCATTCCAGCTATGGAACAGATTCCTGTGCCTTCACATTTACCCTAATCCACGTGATCCTTTTAGCCCTCAAAACTCAGCTTGAGAGTCACATCCTCCAGGGAGCCTTTCAGATGCCCCAGGATGAGTTAGGGGCCCTCTTCTGCGTTCAACAGCTCTGTGTTCTATGTATAACGTCTCTCTTTCTACATCACACCGATAAGGTCCCAGGAAGACCATATCATGGTCTTCATATTATGAAGTTAGGGACTGTTATTATGCTTTGTTTTTCTACAATACTATGACATATTTGCTAACAATCAAAGGCCCTGGGAAGGATCTTTGAAGCAGACCTGGGGGACCACTTCAGGAAAATGGGTAAAGATCGTAAAAGTTGAATACACAATATCTTTTCTCTCCTTTTCCCTGATAGAACCCCAATTTTGTTCAGGATGCAGCTATAGGATTAACGATACTTCTTAGCCTCCTTCTCAGAGGGTAACCATGTGAACCAGTTTGAACTGACAAGACTTAAGGAAATGTGCATGGAATAGATTTGCTCCTCTGATGTGAGCACCCTACTTGTTTTCTGTCTTCCACTTCCCACCTGGAATTAGAAGAAAAGGCTGGAATTAAAGCAGCCATCTTGTGACAATGAACCAGTCATGAGAATAAGAGTCACAGAGTAAGGAATCCTAAGGGGGCCTAGGTCAAAATTCCTGGACTACTTACCAAGAGACTTATGAGAGAAAATAAATTTCACTGAAGCCACTTTGGTTGGGCCTCCGTTACAGCTAGCTGAACTCACCCAGTAAAGGCAGATGAAGGCATATGACCATCTGTGAACATTTCCAAATAGGCCTTTCCTTTGGAGATGGAAAGAGCAGAGGGCAAGGTTAATGGAGTAGATCAAGATGAGAGTTAAGAACCTGACTCTCCCTGGGAGTCCATCAAAGGACTACAGCAAGGCCTTACACAGGGTATGAGGAAGATACTCCAGTTATGGTGGCTCTAATGTGCCTGTGACCTTGGCCTCTTCTGGTGTCTGCTTGGTTGAACTATAAATAAGGCTGCTGGACCAGATAACTTTTCCAAGGCTTGTGCTTGGGCTTTGGAGTTAGGCAAAGCTGGATCCTGGTCTAAAGTCTATCACTTATTAGCTGTGTGGCTCAGTCACTTTTTTAGTTACTGTCTCTAGCATGGTAAATAAAATCCAGATTGCAATTGTACCTGGAACTGTAGGTGTAATGCTGGAGTTCTGTAGAATCATGTGAAATGCCTGGCAGAATCCATTACGGATGATAGCCCAGTGCCCAACACACTGAGTGCTCTGTGGCAGCAGCTCTCCTTGTGTTCCACGCTCTCTAGGAAGACAGCCCTGAAGTTTCATTCTTCTCTGGGGCTGGGGCTGCTGCAAGTCTCTGGAAAGTGTCTCAGTCTGTCCCCAACTCTGCAGGTGAGTAAAGTGGTAGATGGTCACTGGTAACTTTTCCTGCAGCACTGCAAGATGTTGTGTCCAGGGTGCTTGGGACCCATGCAGGTGAATAGAAGTTCAGGATAGGACAGCCCAGACCAGGTCTAGGAAAGCATCAGATCTGGGGCACAAATAAGAAACCTAGTGTCTTAACCACAGCCATGGTGCAGGGTGAGCTTGTAGAGATTGGCTCTGCAGGGGACTACAAGAATTAGGGAGCTGGAAAAATACTTCCAAAACTGGATTCCTAGCTGCAGCTGCTTTTGGCTGAACTTACACTTCTCTTGAAACCCCTCACCTTTTCTCTATTGGAAAAAATCCTGGCAAAAAAATAAAGCTGCTGAGAAGGAGGTCAGTGGGGTGCGTCCCATTTGTCCACGCTCCCCCTTCCCCCAAACACTCCAGGCCAGACCACGCCAACCAAACCGTGCTGACACTAGACAGCGCCTGCAGTTTACCTTGGCTCCAGGCCAGAGAGTTCAGGCCCAGCCCGGGGCGGCCCCCATCTCTCCACCTTGTTACCCGCCCCCTCTCCAGCGCAAAGAGCAGTTTAAATATAAATCAGTCCTCGATACAAACAGAGTCTCAGCGAGTCTTGGAGCCATCACCGGAACTGAGAGCCCAGGTTTTCAGGCGAGTGCAAACAAGCAGAGACCGGCTCCGTAAATCTCCCCAAGTGCATCGGGAGGGGCGCGGGGGCTTCCCTTCCTTCCAGAAATCCCTGCTCTCCTCCAACCCCGGGCTCCTGTTGGCCCCCCCAGCACTGCTCCCTCCGACTTCTGCCTCCTCCGGGCCCCGAGGGCCAGCCAACCCCTCGTGTCTCCCCTACTACCCCGCTCCGCCAGTCCCCCAAGCGCCCTCACGCCTTCGGGCCCCCTCCAGCCATTACCTCCCCCTCCCCGGGGCGCGTCACCTTCCTCCCCTCCTCTCCGCCCTCGCCCCCTCCCGCCCCCTTTCCGCCCGGGCAGGCGGGACCTTTTGCCCGGCGGTCGAGCCCCGCGCGGCAGTCGGGTTCCAGGAGCCAAGAGACGGCGCGGCCCGGATCGAGGTCCAGCGCGGCGGGCCACCGCGTCACACCTGTTTGAGGGGGGCGGCACGCGGAGGCGGGGGCGCGCAGCGCCTTGGACACCCCAGGAAAAGAGGGAGGAGAGAGGCGTTTCATCATCGGCGCTGCCACCACTTATAAAACTTCTGGGCGCGCAGTCTCTCGCTCAGTGCCCGCGCCGCGAGCCTCCTGCGCCCGCCGGACCGCGCTCGCCCAGGGCGGCCCTGCCCCAGCTCCGAGGTAACTTCTGCCGAGAACCGGCCCGGGACGCCGCCCCCCAGCGGGTGCCGCCGCCCCGCCCGCCCCCGGCCTCGCCGCTGCGGCCACCATGGGGCTCTTGTCCAAGTTCGGCGCGCGCCAGGGCAGCGACGTCTCTTCGGGCCGAGCCGGCCGCTGTCGCGGTTCTATCTTTTGCAACATCAAGGTGAGCGGACAACTCCCGGCCGGAGGTGAAGTGCGGGGCGCAGCCCCGGCGGGGCGGCGGGGGAGGTGCTGCGGGAGCCCGGGACGCTCCGGGCGCTTCGGGCACCGTCCTCGGCTCTTGGTGTGGCGCGCCCGAGCGCATCCCCGCCGCCGGCCTGACACCGGGGACGAGGGCCAGGGGAGCGCGTGCTGTGTGTGTGTGTGTGTGTGTGTGTGTGTGTGTGTGTGTGCGCGCGCGCCCTCGTCAGGATTAGAAACAGGACAATGCATTACCTGTTTATTGGTACTCTATTCAGATAGTGAATTGTCCCGAGTGTCACTCCAGCTGAGTGAATTGTCCTGTTCTTGATTGGAAAACACCATCTGTCAGGGCATTTTTTCAGTGTCCTGAGGTGGTTCCTTTCTTAAAGAGGTGACTTGGAGGTGTCTGCCCTGGTACCTTGTAGGAGACAGGCTGTGAGGGAGAACAGATCCGAGCTGTTCTCATTGCTGGGTGGGTGGCAGAAGGGATGTTTTCCTTCCCTGAGCTTTCATCTTGCCCAAGAGCAGCAGCCTCTAGTCTCACCTATCTCTCTGAGAAATGTTCCGAGTTCCCTCCAGGCAACCAGTTCTTTGTGCTTGGACCAGCTTTCCTGGTCTAGAATTGGCCCCAGGAAAGCAGCAGGCCCTTGGTCTGTTGAGTAACGTCTAGGCAGGTTTCTCTCACCTGGCAAGTTACGGAGAGTGATAAAGAGAAGATGAGCTGCAGGCAGCTCTGTGGTGAGGAGGCTTATCTCCCCAGGGGGTGCTTTCCACTCCCTCCTGTGTCCAAGAGGACCTGGAATGAGTGAATTCACACCTGGGCTCTTTGACTGGTTCTGGTGGGGCAGAAGCAACCCAGGACTGCCCCTCCCAAGAGGGGAGGTGATGTGGGTGCTGTAAAGGTGATGTGGGGTGCTGTGATGAGGATGGGGGTTTGTAAAGCCCACTCTGGGGCTTTTGGGGGGTCAGGTTGGGACTACCTGCAGGATTGCTGTTTCCAGCAGCCATGTAATCATGTCACTAGGTAAAGCCTCCAGGGTGCAACTAGGAGCCCAGATAACAAAAAGGAAGGATGGGGCTCTGTGTGGACTGGCTATATGAATATCCAACAGAAGGGGTATGAGGACACAGTGGATCCCACCATATCTGTACTCATATTGTTAACAGTAGAGCTGGGATCCTCAGTTCTGCTTCTGCTCTCTCCCCATACCCCAATAAAGAAAGGCTGGACTGATTCCATGGGGAGGATATTAACTCTGAGATAGTTTACAATTATCCTCAGATCTCCTCATCTTTGGCCTGACCTGAATGAGAACTCTGTGCAGTTTGATCCTGCCATCTAAAAGCATCTTGGAGGAATTTAAACAGAAAATGTGTTGTTTAGAAATCAGTAAATGGCAGGAAAGATTCAGGGCAAAGGTTGAGTGGTCAAAGAGGAAGCCAGGGAGGGACTAGCTCTTTCTATTTTTACACAGATGGGCAAAAGGGCCCACTGTCCCAGAACAGATTCCTGACAATGAAAGTAAACCTATAAGATTGGTCCTGAATCCCTAAAGTAAATGAATTTATGGCAGTAGTTTCTTTGAAGCTCTATAAAAGATACAATATCACATGTTGATGATTTAGCCACACTTGCCTGAGGCCTGTTAGCCTTCTAAAGTCTCACATCATTTAAGAGATTTTCTTAACTCGAAAAGCCAGATGCTGTTTATCATTGTCTCCATTGATCCATAGTAATTCTAAGATCAGAGTTTGGAGAGACTTCCACTTAGCTTCATTTATCAGCCTGAAACCAGGTACAAAGTTGGCTATCTCAAGGCAAATCTAGGGCCAGGAATTCCATGAATTAAACTCAAACCTTTTCTTCTTGGGGCATTCTGGTGGCTATTCATTCTTGGGGCTACTCTGGGCTATTCGTTGGGACATTTCCCCCTCCTATTGAGAGATTGGGGGCTGTCCTGCATCCTCTCATTGGGATTTGTACTGTGCTTAACTAGTGACATAGTGGAAATAGGGACACCCACCCTGAGGACCCATCATTTTTCTAGGGTCTTTGTTGCTGGGACAGACAAATCAATTTGTTTTATGCTATTGCTACAAAACCCCACATATCAAGTGAAGGGGGTACAGCCAGAGCACTCAAATCCAAGTTCTATTGCAGCCTCTTACTAATGGGGTAAAACAGGGAAGCAACTTCTCACTTGTCGTGGGCCTCGGGGTCCTTACATAAAAAAACGGGGTAATACGAGTAACCCCCACCTGGTGGGACTCTGTAAGAATTATGTGGGATAAGACATAGAAAAAGGGTTCTGTAGACCATGTGGATTCTCTGGGATTGATATCAGTGTGAGGTCAGTTCTGACTTTAACAAACAGGACTACACATTCAAACATCATTTAGGAACAGTTATTTGATTATTGCACCAAGCATGCCTCCTTTCATGAGGCATGGTTAACAATAAAACTGTAGTGAATAATAGTAATGTCCAAACTAACAGTAATAGTAGCTAATAGTAAGAGAGTTGTATGACTATATCAGGAACTATGGAAATATCTTAATATTTAATCCTCATTATATCTCTATCAAGTGGATACTATTATTGTCCCCATTAATGATGAGAAAAACTAGTCGTAGTGAGGTTGGTCCATTGGGTGTAGGCACATAGGCAGAAAGGGGCGGGGTATAGAGGAATCTGGTAGGTGAGACCACAGAGGCAGAGACCCTAACCCCTGTACCACCCAGCCCCCACTGTCAACACTGTTCAACTCAGATTTGGCATGTGAGTATCTTGGATCATGGGGCCTGCTTGTGTCCAGGAGTCAGTGTTTTCTCCAGGCCCTGGTCACACAGCCCAGCCATGACCGGGGGAGCTTGTGTGGTTGCAGAGTAGATGCTTCCAGTTACCACAGACTCAAACCCTTTCATTCTACATAACGCTCATGTTAAGATCCAGAAACTCTCACTCTCCCAGTGAGTTTTTATACCTTCTCCTGCAGGAGTAAATACAATTATATTTAATCTAGAGACGGTCTCTATTTATTGCTGCTGGCTTACAGCACGCTTGCGAAGTAGAGAGCCTCTCACCAATCACTGTCAGAGGGAGCAGGGCAGCATCCAGGACTTTTGAAAACCAAATTGAAAACAGGTTCATTCAGCAATGTGGGGAGGGAGATAGAGGTAGGAGGGAGCCTGGCAGCCTCACAGAGGTCTGTTTCTCCTTAAAATGAAATTTCTGGGGCCAAACTGAGGTTATCACATAAAAGGAATAGTTGATGTAACTGTTGCCCAAATTTCAGGAAATTACGCACCCAGGGCTCCAGTGTAATGAAATAATGTATATCTAGTCAGTGGGAGAATATTCAGTGGGAGGAGAGGGCTGGGGAAGAACAATGGGAAGAAAGATAGATAAACCTCAAGCCTGGCCCTAGTGCCCCTGGTGACCTCTGACCTGGGAGGTTCCCCAAATGAGGGAGAAGTATTCTCCTAACTCCCTCAGGCCTCCTAACCTTGGAGGCATTTTAGGTTTAACCTCTCAGTTTCCAGAGGAACTGCAATCCCAGCAACCTGCAATGTGTGAACAGGAAAATATTCAGTGAAACCCGCCCCCCCAACTTTTTCTTAACTGACCCAGGAAGTTCAGATCCACTCCTCCCCATGGGTAGTGTTTTTTTCTGATACTGAAGGCACGACACCATTTATTCTGTTCTCAGGGCATCTGTCCCCTGAGAGATTTTATACTGTCCCATGATTTTAACCACCTATAGCCCGTACTTCACCCCCTCTCTGCCTGTGGAGGCACTGCCTGCAGAGCCCCCATTATGTGCCCAAGCCAAAGAGCTGGTAACGGTGGAGCAGAGAAGCCAGGGGTGCTCCTGGGTGAACCCGCTCATTGTGTGGGGTTGAACCATTTTGGTCCTTATTCTACATCACTAACTGCTCTCTGCCTCTTTGGGGCATTGCACTCTCAACTTCTGTTGAAGAAGGACATGAAGAAACAACTCTGTGAATTTACACTTGTCTGTGCCCCAGAGGATCCACTCACAGGTAGGTTGTCACTATGGTGCTTGGGGACTCGCTTGTGAGGGACCCAGGGAGAGAGTCAGCTAAATTCTTAGTAACAGTGAAAGGTTGATTTATTTTAGTTTTTTTATTGTTGATACAATAATAGATTTGTAGTGGTTCTGTGTACCTTTCCCCCAGTTTCTTCCACATCTATAGTTTTAACATTAAGAGTCATCTTCCACATCTACAGTTTTAATACCAAAGGCAGGACATTGACATTGCTGTAATGTGTATGTGTGTGTGTGCATGTGTGTAGTTCTATACCATTTTAACACATGTATAGATTCACAGAAACACGAACTCAATCCTTCAAGAGCTGTTCCATCGCCACAAAAGTCTCCCTGTGCTATTTCTTTATAGTTACACCCACCCTCTTCTGATTACCATCCCGAACTCCTGGCAACCACTAATCTATTCTTTATTGCTGTCATTTTATAATTTTGAAAGTATTACATGAATGAAATCATGCAGTATGTCACCTTTTAAGATTGACTTTTTTTCATTCAATATTATGCTCTTGAGCTCTATCCAAGTTGTTATGTGCATCAATAATTTGTTCTTTTTTATTACTGAGTAGTATTCCAAGGTCTCGATATACTGTGAATTGCCTAACCATTCACCTGTGAGGGACATTTGGCTTATTTCTTGTTTGGGGCTATCACAGACAAAGCTAATATGAACAATTGTGTACAGCTTTTTGTGTGAAAAATTTTCATTTCTCTGGAATAGATGTTCAGAGGTACATTTGCTGGATCATATGGTAGATGCAAGATGATTTTTTTAAAAGAAATTTTCAAATTGTTTTCTAGAGTGTCCATCTGACATTTGTTCCAGTAACACAGGAGAGATCCAGTTTCTCTGCATCCTTGCCAGAATTTGGTGTTGTCACTATTTTTAATTTTAGTTATTTTAATAGGT